CGGACATGGCACTGCTTGGCGCGCCATACTGTGGTAGGCGTCCCACGTATAAAGTAGGGGAAGATGGGCATGGATGTTAGCTCAGGGCCAGCCTTCCTCAGCAAAAAGAGGAGGATTGACAGTAGTAGTAGTTAGCTCAGGGCTAATCTTCCTCAAAAAAAAAAATTCATTTTACAGAATTTTTGTTGTTTTTTTGGAGAGAAATTTTTGAGTGATAAATTTATATTCTATATTGTTTTTACAGCTTTATTGGAGTATAATTTAAGTGTATGACTCAGTGATGTATTGTTTTTTTTAGTAAATCTACAGAGTTGTGCAGCTATCACCACAACCCAGTTTAGAACATTTTCATCACCCCAAAAAGATCACTTGTGCCTGGGTTTTTTTTTTTTTAAGATTTTATTTTTCCTTTTTCTCCCCAAATCCGCCAAGTACATAGTTGTATGTTTTTAGTTGTGGGTCCTTCTAGTTGTGGAATGTGGGACACAACCTCAGCATGGCTTGATGAGTAGTACCATGTCTGTGCCCAGGATCCGAACCAGCAAAACCCTGGGCTGCCAAAGTGGAGCGTGCGAATTTAACCACTCAGCCATGGGACCAGCCGAACTTGTGCCAGTTTCTTTTTGTTGTTTTTTTTTGCTGAGGAAGATTAACCCTGAGCTAACATCTGCCACCAGTCCTCCTCTTTTTTCTGAGGAAGACTGGCCCTGACCTAACATCCGTGCCCATCTTCCTCTACTTTATACGTGGGATGCCTACCATATCATGGCTTGCCAAGTGGTGCCATGTCCACACCTGGGATCCAAACCAGCGAACCCCAGACCACCAAAGCAGAACATGTGAACTTAACTGCTGCACCACCGGGCTGGCGCCTGCCTGTTTTTAATCAGTCTGTTACATTGCATTTTTTAAAAAGTTTTGTGGCAAAATATACGTAACATAAAATTTACCATTGTAACCATTTTTAAGTGTACAATTCAGCGCCTTTAAGTACATTCACAGTGTTGTGCGACCACCACTACTATCCATTTTAAGAACTTTTTCTTCATCCCAGAGACTCTGTTCCTGTTAAATAATAACTCCTCATTACCGCTATTCCCCACTCCCAGATACTGGTAACCTCTATTCTATTTTCTGTCTATGAATTTGCCTATTCTGGGTTACCTTACCAAGTGGAACCATAAAGTATTTGTCCTTCTCTATCTGGCTTTCTTCACTTAGCATGATATTTTCAAGATTCATCCATGCTTCACTGGATTTTAGCACAGGCACGGCTGTGAGTACTTAAAGTTGGGGCTTATAGATAGTAAAATCAAGAGTGGGCAAGGAAAATTTGGTCAGAATTCTCAAGCCATCTATTGGGCAAGATTACTTACCTCAGACATTCAAATATCTGGTTCTGGTTTCTCCCAACTTCCTTTGTGTCATTGGAGGATAATAAGGAGGAATTATTTGAACTGCTTTCAACTGTTTGTATAACTTTCATTTCAAGAAGCCAAGGTAATGATGGCATTCCAAACTCCATTCAGCTCTAGGTTATTGAGTTTTGTCATTTTGTTCTGTGCTTTCAGTGCTCATGAATATAATTTATCTCAAAACTTAGAACAGTGTATTGTGTTAGTTTACATTTGTATATCTTGCTGTGTACTTTTTGGAAGTACTTTTTGAATCTAGGTGTATAATTAGTTGAGTGACAGACTTTTCCTACCGTCTGCAACACCCCATGATATTCTCAGTTATACTCTCAAAATGAGATGTTAATCCAGTTACCTGAGACATTGTTACCGTGGAGTTAGGGCTTAACTTTTGATGTTCTGTAGCATTCAACTTTCCAGTCCTTCCATCCAGGTGTGTTTTTCAGAGGTAGACCACTTCAGAAGTAACACATGTCAAAATCACAAATCTATGGGAGATCTGTAGCTAAAGAATATTTATGTATGCTATAATATGTCTCACATCTGAAGCTGTTAAAAGAGAACTAAGAGGATATGGAGAAATTGGAACCCTCATACACTGCTGGTGGTAGGGTAAAGTAGTGCAGCCGCTTTGGAAAACAGCCTGACAGGTCTTCAAAATAAACAGAGGGGCCGGCCTGGCGGTGCAGCTGTTAAGCGCTTATGTTCCGCTTTGGCGGCCCGGGCTTTGCTGGTTCAGATCCCGGGTGTGGACATGGCACGACTTGGCAAGCCATGCTGTGCTAGGCATCCCACGTATAAAGTAGAGGAAGATGGGCATGGATGTTAGGTCAGGGCCAGTCTTCTTCAGCACAAAGAGGAGGCTTGGCAGCTGATGTTAGCTCAGTGCTAATCTTCCTCAAAAAAAAAAAAGTTAAGCAGAGACTTACCATAGGACCCAGCAATTCTACTCCTAAGTATATGCTCAAGAGATTTGGAAACATGTCCACACAAAAACTTGTACACAAAAGTTCATAGCAGCATTATTCATAATAGCAAAAAGTGAGAAAAAAACAAGTATCTATTAATTGATAAATGGATAAACAAAATATGATATGTCCATATCCATACAATGGAATATCATTTGGCAGTAAAAAGATAAGAAGCAATGATATATGCTACAATATGAGTGAACGTTGAAAACATAATGCCTATGGGGCCAGCCCCATTTCCCAGTGGTTAAGTTCGCGCATTCTGCTGCAGTGGCCCAGGGTTTCACTCGTTTGAATCCTTGGCACGGACATGGCACTACTCATCAAGCCATGCTGAGGGGGCATCCCACATGCCACAATAGAAGGACCCACAAGTGAAAATACACAGCTATGTACCGGGGGGCTTTGGGGAGAAAAAGGAAAAATAAAAAATCTTTTAAAAAAATTGAAAAAAACCATAATGCCTAGTGAAAGAAGTCAGTCATAAGAGACTACATATTGTATGATTTTATTTATATAAAAAGCCCAGAATAGACAAATTTAGGGACAAAAAGTAAATTAGTAGAGCACAGAGATGGGAGGGGGAAAGGAAAGTGACTACTAATGGGTATGGGTTTTTTAGGAGGGAGATGAAGAAAATGTTCTAATATTGATTGGTGATGGTTGCACAACTGTGACTATACTAAAAACCATTGATGCGTACAGTTTAAATAGGTGAATTGTATAATATGTGAATTATACCTCAGTAAAGTTGTTCTTTAAAAAAGAGAGGGGCTGGCCTGGTGGCATAGTGGTTAAGTTCATGTGCTCTGCTTCAGCAGCCCAGGGTTCACAGGTTCCAATCCTGGCTGTAGACCTACACACTGCTCATCAAGCCATGCTGTGGAGGCGTCCCACATACAAAACAGAGGACGATTGGCAGAGGTGTTCGCTCAGGAGCGATCTTCCTCACAAAAAAAAAAAGAAAGAAAAAGCATGAGCGAGAATTAAGAACGTTACCCAAAAATTCAGAGATCTGGGTTCTCACTTTTCTCTAGTCTCCGAAAAGTCTATTTCCTTTTGTTGGAAATTCTTTTGTTGGTTACTCTTTTCATTATAACCAGAAAGGAATCAAATAGCTCTTATTTTACTCTGCACTATAGAGAGGAAGATGCCTCAAGCACATACATATTTTTACTTGCAAGAGCACCAATTAACATTGATAGTCTTCTCGGGCCTTCTACTTGAGTCTGAGAATTGTCAGGCCTTATCTCATATCTTAGGTATGAAAGTCATAGCCCTAGAGTATAGAGATTAAATTTTGTTGTGCACCTTCTAAGTGTCCACTTGGGGAGGTAAAGTAACTTACTAAATATTTGACCTTGTATAAGTAAGTAGCGCTTTAAACCTATGCTTCTATGACTCAAATAATTTTCTTTCCAGTGCCTCATTGATACTTCCTACCAGGAAAACAGCCCTGGATTTAAAAGTGTTGGAGAAATTCTGCATTTAGATTTAGTTAGTGTAAAAAATCAAAGTGAGAAGGGAAAGGGGCTGGCCCCATGGCCTAGTGGTTATGTTCGGCACACTCTGCTTTGGTGGCCTGGGTTCAGTTCCCAGGTGTAGAGCTACACCACTTGTCAGTGGCCATGCTGTGGCAGCGACCTATATATAAAATAGAGGAAGATTGGCACAAATGTTAGCTCAGGGAAAATCTTCCTCAGCAAAAAAAAAAAAAAAAAAAAAAAGGAAAATGATGATTAGCTTGCCTTTAATAATTTTGCTGCATGAGTAGAGAAAATATTATGTTTTAGCCTAAGCATCTGAATTCTTCATTAAGCAAAGCCAAGTATCTTAAGATATTGAATCGGTATCTGTATAGAATTGAGAGCAAATGACAAGCCCCTCTAATCCTTGCTCTATCCACACAACTGAGGCTTCCTCTTAGATGCCCTTTGTCTGATTCGTCTTTCTTATTTCTCCATCCTTGGGATAGTCCAATTAAAGATATGTGTGAGTGACCTGAGGAACTTCTCATTAATAAAAGTCTTTTCAATCCAGCTCCAGTGGCCTAGCAGTTAAGTTTGATGTGCTCTGCCTTGGTGGTGGCCTGGCTTCGGTTCCTGGGTGTGGATCTACACCACTCATCAGTGGCCATGCTGTGGTGGTGACTCACATACAAAAAGAGGAAGATTGGCAGCAAATGTTAGCTCAGGGCGAATCTTCCTCAGCAAGAAAAACAAATAATCTTTTCCAGGAGAATAATTTGATATGAGAGTTAAAACCAAAGCATCTGACTTTCAGCATGCGTGTACAAAAAGCCAGTCACAAAAGAATGTTAATTTTTTGAGAGATGTAAATAGACCATCTAGGTGAATGTGGTGATTGGTTTTCAGGTATCTATACAGTAAGGACCTTAGTGAAGTTTATTTTCACTGCTGAGGTTGAATGGAGAAATCTCCTTTAATATATGGATGTTTTAGGAAGATGTAGAGTAGAAGGCTAGCTCAGTTAACTTTGAACTTCCATGTATATATCTGTGATTCTTCTTAATGTCTTTACCACCCCACCTTCTTTCCTTATGGACTATTTAAGGAACTTTATTCTGGTCTCACTTATATTTTTTTTTCCATAGGATGGATAGAATGACAGAAGATGCTCTTCGCCTGAATCTGTTGAAGCGGAGCTTGGACCCAGCAGATGAGCGAGATGATGTCCTCGCCAAGCGACTCAAAATGGAGGGGCATGAGGCCATGGAACGTCTGAAAATGTTGGCACTGCTCAAACGGAAGGATTTGGCAAATCTTGAGGTGTCGCATGAGTTACCCACCAAACAGGATGGCAGTGGTGTCAAGGGCTACGAAGAGAAACTCAATGGGAATCTCAGGCCTCATGGAGACAACAGGACTGCTGGAAGACCAGGCAAAGAAAACATCAATGATGAGCCTGTGGATATGAGTGCTAGGCGGAGGTATGGCTTGTTTCAGCTGCCTCCACTGATTGGGTCTTCTCATAAACTAAGCCTATGAAAATGAAATGAATTCCATTGAGAGGAGAGTGTTTTTCGTCCTAAAGCTTCTTGAAAGAAATATATTTGTGCCATCTGGCTTGACCATGAATTCCTCTCATTTCCACATGAAACTTAGGTGCCTCAAAAATTGGCGTAGCATACAGAGAATCATGGTTCTTACCTTTAAGATAAAGTGGTAATTTCTGGATAAAGGAGGCACTATAGAGCTGATACTCCAAGTAGAAAGAAGTGAGTTAATATGCACTTTTACTCTAATTTTATGGCCATTTTAGGAGGGAAAAACAGTTGTTTCTTCACATAATTCCACAAGTTTTAGGATCTATTTATGACGGAGTCCTAGCTTTTATTATTTCAACAAGGAAATTATCTTCATGTGGTAATTCTCTACATTCTTGCTTTGTTCCGCTCTCCCCAACCCCCACATATGCGTACACATTCGCTTGTACACTTACACTCATGATTGTGCTCTCTTTCTCTCTCACAGACACAAAACACAGCACACATTTTCACAGGCTTTTTTTGCTGGTGTCTGTAAAGGTTGAGTACTTGAATCTATGGAGCACGCACTAAGAAGAGGTACCTAAAACTGGCTGAGGGTAGAGCCTACCTGGACAGTGAATCACAGTATAGACAAGCCCAGTTTTTGAGAATATTTAGTTTATTAATGGTTCAGAAACAGCTGATAGGCATGAGAATTACTCTTCAGTGTTCAGTTGTCCTCCAACTGACCTTGCTGACTTTGTCCTAGGACTGTCCAAAGCAGGATCTTTAAGAAGCTAAACTGATGGAGAAAGAAGAAAGGAATGAATGGTTATAACCTACCTGGGGGGCCGGCCTCGTGGCCAAGTGGTTAAGTTCACATGCTCCGCCTTGGCGGCCCAGGGTTTCACTGGTTTGGATTCTGGGCACGAACGTGGCACCACTCGTCAGGCCATGCTGAGGCGGCGTTCCACGTGCCACAACTAGAAGGACCCACAACTAGAATATACAACTGTGTACTGGGGGGCTTTGGGGAGAAAAAGCAGAAGAAAATAAAAGAGAAGATTGGCAACAGTTGTTAGCTCAGGTGTCAATCTTTAAAAAATAAATAAATAAATGACCTTACCTGGATTTCTTTCTCTCCCTTTTAATGTTTACTTACTAGTATTGTCCCAGGATAATTTTTTTAAAACATGCCCAATGAAGGAACATTATTCTTGGTAATAGCGTTAAAAACCCTTAGGTGACTTCATATAAATTCCCTAGTGGTCCTGGAAGAAAAGAATCCCTGGAAGCTATAGGTAGTGTCAGCAGAATATTATAAAAGTAGATTAATACTTAGATCCTTTGCGGTAAAAAGAAAGTGGGTAAAAAAGAAGAGATCATGCATCTGAGCAACCCATTTGCCCCATAATCACCTTTACCCTTCTGGAGCAAAGAACTAATCCTATTTCACTGGGGATGAAGAAGAGGAAAAATGTTAGGTGGAATCCTCACATCCCAAAGTGGAACTGAACGTGCGTTTTTCCTAGAAACATTGTTAAACATTTTGGTAAGATCTCATCAGTTGCTGTTGGAATTGTACTATGTATCACAGATAAATTCTGTGTTAAAAAGTCAGACTACCCTGAAAACCCTATCCATTGTGTTTAATTTTATTTTAGAGGGATGAACTTTTGAAACTTGATCCTCTGGAAACTGGGAACTTTTTAATGGTCTGCAGGAAAAGAGGCTTGATGTAAACCATCTAGATCCCCATTCTACATGGAAAAATAGACCCTGTTGGCCCCTGTTGCTCTTCTCCCCTTTTATCAGGTACACTGACAGCTATTTCCACTTAGCCCCAAGCTTTTTATAAGAATGAACAAGATTGATAGATTGCTTAGCAAGGAGAACTGTGGTTTCTTTGATATAGATAAAAGGAGGAAAGAGTTTTAAAGCAGAAAGAAGGAAGAGCTCTTGACATGATAACCATATCATAATTGCCTAAATATCTTTTTTTTTTTTTTTTGCCCATCATCAAGTTATGCTATCTGTGAAATAAGGTATGCATGAAACCAAAACTACTTATGTTTTGGAATGCTAGAGAGACATGGCAGTTTTCTTTTTGTTTAGTTGTTTTTACTACTGGGACAAGGATTAGGAGTTTTATAGCTTCTGGGAATCTGCCAGTCTGAGTCACAAGTGATGTCAGCAGCAAGTTGGGCTTTTAATAATAACTCTCTAACAGGATTTCAAATTTAAGCACACCAGAGATTGTAAATCATATATATGTTTGGGAAAGTAGCAAAATAATTTCTGTCCGTGGAAAGTTTAATAAATGAGAGGCGAAAAGTAAGGGAAAAAAAGAGAGAAATGAAGCTTAACTTGAACTTTGCCTTACCTGTGCTGTCTATCTAATGTGGGTCTGATTATATCTGGGAATAAAATGTCATTTAGGGTTATTCTCAGATCCAACTTCCTGATAAATGCCATTCAATTCCAAAATCTCCATCTAGGAGTATCTCTGCCTGTCTTGTTGCTGGTCAGTCCCTGAGAGGTTGGTGGCACTCATTTGAGCAAAGAAGAATTCCTTAATTTAGAAGTAATCTGTGATGTATATATCCAGCCAGAACCAGAATGAAAAGAGCTTCTGACTGTTGATGTAAAAACATGGGAGGTGCCGGCCCCATGGCCGAGTGGTTAAGTTCATGCACTCCGCTGTGGCAGCCCAGGGTTTCACCAGTTCGGATCCTGGGCATGGACATGGCACCGCTCATCAAGCCGTGCCAAGGGGGCATCCCACACGCCACAACTAGAAGGACCCACAACTAAGAATATACAACTATGTACCAGGGGGCTTTGGGGAGAAAAAGGAAAAAAAAAAATTGGAGAATCAAGTAGAAGAGGTAGAAATCTACCAGAACTCAAAATTGTTCACCCCCGTTAGTGTTAGTGATGGGGAGGAATGAAGGAATATAGAAATGATAAATAAAATCACCCAAAAAATGAATTCAAACACTTTATTTACACCTGGCCCTTACTCCAGGAACTTGGGGGTAGAAAATGAGAGGTTCTTTTCCCCCTCTAGTGGCTTTTTCTTAACCCCATATTCTCAGCTTGCTGTGTCTGTGACCAGTGGTTATAGAGTAGTCCAGACAAACTTAATAGTTCTCAAGATAGTCATTCTTACCACTCTGTCCCCCTGTTCTATTTCCTCAGGTAAGTTTGGGTGATTTTAGTAACCTAGTTGTATCTTGTTGAGAAATTGAATGCTTGTCCCAACCATCCAGGGTGCCTTGTTCAAAAGGCATCTGTGTCCCAACAGCGACTGAGACAGGAAGCCCTGAGAAATGGCTGAGAGGCTCTCAGGACTGAAGATCTGTAGATGTTGAAGGTTTGAGTTACATGTTTAAATAAGACCTAAAAACACAATGCTTTAGACTTGTATACTCCTAACTACACCGAAGATCTCAAGGAAGTAGGGTCTGGGACGATAACTTTGAGTTAAGAAATGAGAAGAGAGTTAGAAGATATGGTCATTGATTTGGAAACCTAAGGCAATCCGAATTGCCAGGATTCTTATTCCAGGTGTTAAGCATGAATACCATTTTTCATCATCTTAGAGAAACAAGTATGATGCTTTTAAGGCTAGCCCCAGAAAGACCAAAACTAGAGTTGTCTATAGGATTGGGAATAGGGAGAGCCACTGTGCAAGATAAAGATTTCAAAGTCGTTTCTGGAAAGTTTCTTTCTGAGGGAAGATGGTAAATAGAACTCTGCCAAGTAGATGTAAGTTCCGTGTATTTAGTTCTGGAGTTTGAGTCCTCCAGAAGGTTGTAGACATCATACTTGACACTGTCCATTCTCTCAAGCCATTGACAACAGTACCTTTTCCTTAACTCTTGACAGGATAGACTATCATTGCAATTGTCATATAACTTCCTTTCTTGTAAATCCTCAGATAGCCAGAACCATGTCATTATCATTATAATGAGCTGCTTCCTCAGCAACGAATGTACCATCTGTACCAGGGATGGACAACTAGGCTCTACTGCATTTGCCCCTCTTCCCCTGTCAAGCTAGCCATTTCCTTCTTGAAGCTCTTACGTAACTAACGAGATAGCCCAAAGGAGAGTGAGGTAAGAGGGAAAACATTTAGAATTTTGATTAAAATCAGTGTGATAGAACGCTCATCTCTTATTCCCATTTCTAAGCTAGTCAGTGCCTTTGTCCCTGCATCCTCTGTAAGGAATTTAGATGAGAAAAGTACTTTTGCTGAAGTTTTGTCATCACTTTCAACTTGGTGTCTTTATCCTAGGATTTGAGTGTCTCTGTCTTTCCCTGGGTAAATTGGGACAGACCTAAGTTCCCTTGGATTTCTTTGTTCTGTGTAGAAAAGTAGTTTTCTTAACTTCACTATGAACCTTCACTGTTGGAAATACCTTTATTTTTCCTTTTCTTGTCTAGTGAGCCAGACCGAGGAAGGCTAACTCCCTCCCCAGACATCATTGTTTTGTCTGATAATGAGGCTTCCAGTCCCCGTTCCAGCTCCCGAATGGAAGAAAGACTCAAAGCAGCCAACCTAGAGATGTTTAAGGTAAAAAAAAAAAAAGATTTTTTTCTTCATTTCTTACTGCTTCTAGTCTCTTTAATTCCATAAGAGTCCCAGTTCTGTTTTTTTTATGGTTTACTTTTTGGATCTAAATAACTACCCATTGATCAGACTCTTCATTTAAATGATTCACAACCTGAAGGCATGCTCTTTTATAGGGAACCGTTAGAATCAAGTGGAGAAGATAGTTTGAAAAACATATTCAATATAACTTATCTTTGGAAAATGAAAACAAAACATAATTCAAGTCACATAAAGTAAACTGTTGGCAGGAGGGATTCCTTCTACACTCTATCCTGGATCTCAGAATATGGAGAAATTCCTAAGTTTTTATGTATATTTAGAAGAAACACGGCTAAAATGATTTAGAAACATTCTTTTAAAGGAAATCAGTGTCTCCTTTGGCCATTCTTCTGTTTTGCCAGGAATCTAGTTGATTAGCATTTATATGTGGTCTCTCTTTCATTCTGTAAACATTTTTTGAGTACCTACTGAATACCACCAGGCACTCTGCCAGACCCCAGGGACACAAAGATAACAGTCCTATCACCACCTGTGCTTCTTGTGGAAGATGAAGGTTTCAGAGATAAAAGAAGAGATCGTCTTGCAGGAAGGGACTCTGGGTACATGCTACCATAGCTGACAGTCTGTGTTTCCTTAAGGGGAAAGGCATTGAGGAACGGCAACAGCTCATCAAGCAGCTGAGGGATGAGCTGCGATTGGAAGAAGCCCGACTGGTGCTGTTAAAGAAACTGAGACAGAGTCAGCTACAGAAAGAGAACGTGGTCCAGAAGGTAATGTGCCCTAGAAATAAGGGACTAGGGGAAAGGAAGGAAAAACTGGATGGAGAATAGGCTATCCCAGGTAGGTTCAGCTGAGTGGCTCGTTCTTCTTTGGGTTCCATGGCTTTTAGTCTCTGGGAATAGTGATATTTTTTTATCTTAGGCCTTAATCAAGAAAACCTTGATTCCGTTTTTCTCAATTTTCCTCCTGGTCAGCAGGCACTTTCACTGACAAGGAATTTTAAAAGTCTAAAAGTGTACCAGATTTCTACTTCCGATTATTAGTCTTTTCCACTGTCTCATTTTCTCTTCTCTCCCTCAGACTCCAGTTGTACAAAATGCCGCATCTATTGTTCAGCCATCTCCTGCTCATGTGGGACAGCAGGGCCTATCCAAACTTCCCTCCCGGCCTGGGGCCCAAGGTGTTGAACCTCAAAATTTGAGAACATTACAGGTGTGTGACCCATAATAGGATCTTTGTGTCAGAGGGCCCTGTTTATTCTGTCTCTGTTTCTTGGCTTTTGTGAAGATTGTAGAAGAACCTGGCCATGATAGAGAGGTTATTACTACAGATAGTCTGTTGGTCCTTTATGGCATAATTTAGTCTGCATAGAAGAATGAATAACCCTCATTTTTCCACTGTAGTTTTTCTTCTCTAGAGGTTTCCAGCTTAGCCCTTTTCCATATAGGGTTAGATAGATTATACCAAAAAAGCCAGGGAATTCCTAGCCACTAATCAGGGTTAACAGTGGTGGTAGATTTATCTCGTAGATCATTAGACAAAATTACTAAGTTTGAGTATGTTTCTGCTCAGCTATGTATTATAGGTAGTGTTTTCTCTTTAGCATTTTGTGGGACATTTTACCAACTATGACTAGTTCTTTTCCTCTTTTTCTCTTTCAGGGTCACAGTGTCATCCGTTCAGCGACCAATACCACCCTCCCACACATGTTGATGTCTCAACGTGTTATTGCACCAAACCCAGCCCAGCTGCAGGGTCAGCGGGGCCCACCTAAGCCTGGCCTTGTACGCACCACAACACCCAATATGAATCCCGCCATCAATTACCAACCGGTAAGAGAGAGCCCTAATGTGGAGACAGGGAAATCTTTTATTTGCTTTCTCTGTTAAAAGGTCCATAGATTTTAAGTTTTCGGACATAGAGAAGCTCTGGACAATAAGGATAATTTTGATGGAGCTTGAATTGACAGTAGTCCCAAAAGTAGAAACATTGAAGAATTATTTGAAAACAGTAGTGGAGAAGAGAGGTTATACAGAGAGCAGCAGTAAGCTAAAACCTTCCTAGACTAAAGAGATCAAGGGAGCCAATGAATAAGAAGCATAAGGATATATAACAGAAATCATCCCCATCCTTATTTTTCTCTTTGCTGTTTTAGCTCGTAGCCACTATCTTTCTCCTTTCATATGTGCCAGAGTTCTTTTTCAGTGAAGAAGTTGGACACCTGCCTTTTCCTGAGTTTTGGGAAGCTAAGTAGTCCAAACTAGGATCAGATAGTGTTCTCCGCCGTGAAAGCAAGAATTGATCCTTTTTCCCAGATACCATCACTGACCCCCATACTCAATCTGTTTCAGCAGTCAAGTTCCTCTGTTCCCTGTCAGCGCACAACATCCTCTGCCATCTATATGAACCTTGCCTCCCATATCCAGCCGGGGACCGTGAACAGAGTGTCCTCACCACTTCCTAGCCCCAGCGCCATGACAGATGCTGCCAATTCGCAGGCTGCAGCCAAATTGGCTCTTCGTAAACAACTGGAAAAGACACTCCTGGAGATTCCACCTCCCAAACCTCCTGCTCCCTTGCTTCACTTCCTGCCTAGTGCAGCCAATAGTGAGTTCATCTACATGGTAGGCTTGGAAGAAGTCGTACAGAGTGTCATCGACAGCCAAGGTAAGGCTGTTTCTTCTGGTCAGTCTTTTTATCTAAGCAGAGAGGTTGCTGAGCCTGATTGACATGGGCAGAGTATCACAGGGTATTGTGTAATGTTAAATAAGCTCTCCTTACCATTGCCAAACCACCTCCCATCCCTGATTCAGAGGCTGTTTGGGAGCAACATATCAGAAAAAGGTTTGTTTGTCTGTGTATCTTAGGCTAAATATTTTTGTGTATTTTGTATATCTTCTATATTTTTTACAGTATACTGTTTAGTTCTTTTGACTGATACCTAGCATGATGCATGCGTGCTTCGATGACTAGAACAGTTGTTTTCTTTTGTTTTTTTTTTTTGGATTGGCCATGAGCAAACATCTGTTGACAATCTTTTTTATTTTTCTTCCCTTCCTCTCCCAAAAGCCCCCCAGTACTTAGTTGAATATTCTAGTTGTAGGTCCTTCTAGTTCTGCTATGTGGGACACAGCCTCAGCATGGCTTGAGGTGCTAGGTCTGCCCCCAGAATCCGAACTGGCAAAACCCTGGGCTGCTGAAGTGGAGTGCACGAACTTAACCACTTTGCCATGGGGCTGGCCCCTGGAACACTTTTTTTTTTAGGAAGATTAGCCTTGAGTTAACATCTGCTGCCCATGCTCCTCTTCTTGCTGAGAAAGACAGGCCCTGAGCTAACATCCGTGCCCATCTTCCTCTACTTTATATGTGGGACGCCTGCCTGCCACAAAATGGCTTGTCAAGTGGTGCCATGTCAGCACCCGGGATCTAAACTGGCGAACCCTGGGCCGCCGAAGCAGAACGTGTGAACTTAACAGCTGCGCCACCGGGTGGGCCCCAGAACATTTATTTTTAATGTCAGTGTTTGTGTGGCATTGTGCTGCATTATTTTATTCAGTCCCTGCTGTTTGTGTGCTCGTAGTTAAGAAAATATATATACTGATGGAGATAACTATGACCACATAAAAGCTGTACACGAACAGTGAACCAGACTATAATGTATTAACACTGTACAGAGTATACTAACAGAAATTATTAAGCCTGAATTTCCAAACATAAGGACTTAGGGGAACACCTGACAGTAGAGGAAAGTACCTAAAGGGCTCAGTATTGGCTATAAACACATCACAAAGTGGGTAATTCAGACACTGATAATTAAAAATTATAAATGTATATGACAAGGATAAATTCATTCTGAGGTAAAGAGATGCTAAGAAGCAAAAGTGTTGGCTGAGTTATATGGTGTCTTTGGACTCTGAATTGACATATTTTTTCTCAATGTAATGTAATAGCAAATCAGAAAACTTGGGTTCTTGTCCCAGCTTTCTCGTTTAGGAGCTGTGTTTCTTATACTTAGTTTTCTCATTTGTAAATGGGGATGGTACTCTCTGAATTCCCTAAAGTGATGTTGTTACAATCAAATAAAATAAAGTGGGGCCAGCCCAGTGGCACTGCGCTTAAGTGCACACGTTCCGCTTCTTGGCGGCCTGGGGCTCGCCAGTTTGGATCCCAGGTGCGGACATGGCACCACTTAGCACACCATGCTGTGGTAGGCGTCCCACATATATAGTAGAGGAAGATGGGCACGGATGTTAGCTCAGGGCCAGTCTTCCCCAGCAAAAAGAGGAGAATTGGCAGCAGTTAGCTCAGGGCTAATCTTCCTCAAAAAAAAATAAAGGTATTTTATAAGTTGTAGAGTACTCTTTTTGTAGAGTCTCTTTCTTAATTCAGCAGAATAAAATTCTGGAAAAACATTTGATGAAGAGAAACAGAGGAGATAGGGAGAAAATATGAAACCACTGATTATTCTTTTTGTTGGCATCTAGGCAAAAGCTGTGCCTCACTTCTGCGGGTCGAACCCTTTGTTTGTGCCCAGTGCCGCACAGATTTCACCCCTCACTGGAAGCAAGAGAAGAATGGTAAGATTCTATGTGAGCAGTGTATGACCTCCAACCAGAAGAAGGCTCTAAAGGCTGAACACACCAACCGGCTGAAAAATGCTTTTGTTAAAGCCCTACAGCAGGAACAGGTAAGAAGTCTGACTACTTCTCACCAGCCACCTGCCCAGTTGGTTTTCCCAAAAGGTAGTTCTTTCTAGTTTAGAGGAGTTGTTTGTGTGATCCCCACAGTCATGGCGATCTAGGTTTCTGGATCTGGGTTACCTTGAACCTGGAGGCTTGGGTTCCTTTTTTTTCTCCCCACCATTCCTTCTTTCCCATTTCCATTTGAGTATTTCTGATTGGGTAAGAACATAGTTACATATAGTGGCTGAGGTGAAGGGGAAAGGACAGAAGGCTTGAGACTCTTGCCTTTCCCTAATAGCACTAAAGAAATCCCTCTATTCTTAACTTCATTTCCTCCTCAAACAAATGGATTTTGGTGAGAGGGATTTATATTTGTACTAGAAATCTCTTTGAGAGAAGTAATCTGCATTCCATATTTGGCAGAGAAATGACAAAGGAAAGGGTAGATTATAAAGTAGCCCAGTGAAAATTAATGGTACTAGATGTGTGAACATCTCCTATAGTATTAATAGAATGAGAATATCTTGGAAAGGGGAAGATGTGTTGGGAAGCTCAGATCCTTTTCTTCTATCCCATTTTCTACTCCACCGCTTATCAGACCCCTTTAGGTAGCATAGTGGACCTTCTGAAAAATGGGTAGATAGGAGTCAGAAATAAACCTCAGTAACGCAGCAGCCTTAATTACATCAGTCAGCTAGCTCATTGTTGCCACTCAGATCTCTCCACCCAACTTCTGAGAGCCAGCTTTCCTGGAGAGAGGGATTCCTTAATCAGTGACACATGTTGGCTACTTGCAACCAGAGATCTTAGTGCACCTACCCCACCAGACTCTTTCGCCTTTTCCATATCCCTCCAACTTGCTAGCACCGTTAGAGATAAGAAAACCTCTGGGTTTTCTGGTTAAGAAATTGGGCGCTGTCCTGCCCGGCTTGACCTAATGACTCCCAACAGGAAATTGAACAGCGATTACAGCAGCAGGCAGCACTCTCCCCCACTACGGCTCCAGCTGTGTCCAGTGTCAGTAAACAAGAGACCATAATGAGACATCATACGCTTCGGCAGGTGAGGATTTCTCTCAAGGGCTTGTCAGCCATTTATCCCAACTTGTCCTTTCTTTTGAAATCATACTGCTCTTCTGTACTCCCATATCTTTACCTCCTCCTTAAACCTTCCATCATGGCTAAGTTGTGATCAACTGTCCCCTCATCATTGCAGGCTCCACAGCCCCAAAGCAGCCTCCAGCGTGGCATACCCACATCTGCCCGTTCCATGCTTTCCAACTTTGCACAGGCACCCCAGCTGTCTGTGCCAGGTGGCCTCCTTGGAATGCCAGGTAAGAAGGGTTGATCTGAGGACTTTTCTTAGGGATTGATTAGTTATAGGTAATTCTTTAGCAGCCCCTTTAGGTGAATCATTCCTTCTTTTGTTTTCTGCTCGCTCTTTAGGCCTTACTCCCTTCACTCTTATTATTTGGCAAATGTTTGCAAAGTTCATATTCTATGCCAGGTACAGTGCACTAGGGTTTTGATGGTGAAAATGACACAGTCCCTGCCATTACAAATTTAGTGTCTAAAGTGTCCCCTTGATAGGCATGTAGTTATTGATATCTTTTGGCCATAACAGCAGGGTCAACTGTCCTAATACTGTTTGATCCAGGGATGCTTCTCCACAGTCAGCAGCCCCAAAACCAAAGCAGATTCAATGATTCCGTCTCTTTGTCTTGATTATTTTCCTCTCACCATTGTTTTTTCTGACTCTTCTATCCTATCAAGATCATGTTCATTATTCCTGGTAGGATTGAAGTTTCAGGATGACCTCTTTGCCTAAAGCTTGGGAGTATAGGGATAGTGGCTACTGAAATAAAGTTTAACTGAGTCTGGACAAATGTGGACAAGTTCTAATGTTTCCTCCCCGTCTCCAACTCTGCATCCCCAGAGTAGTGCAGAGGAAGGTGTCATTTCCTCTTTTAATACCTGCCCTCCACTTTTGTCTCCTGGGTCTAGGTGTCAACATTGCGTACTTGAACACTGGCATCGGAGGACACAAAGCCCCCAGTTTGGCAGACCGACAGCGGGAATACCTTTTAGACATGATCCCTCCCCGGTCTATATCGCAGTCCATCAGTGGACAGAAATAACGCCTATTCCACTTGTACTGCCCCAACCTTGAATCCTTTACCCCTCTCCTCTCCCGTTGCCCCCAACTTCCGTCGCATGCAGTGCCTGTACTGGTGCCTACCATACACGGAAAACAAAACAGAAAAACAGAAGACAAAAAATAGAAATCAACAAGAAAACACACGCCCTGCCCCGCCACCTCCCCTTTATTTCACACTGCTGCGATCTGTTCTTCTGCCGCTCTGTCTTCTCTCTTTGGTTTTCTTTAACAGTGAGGTGGATCTTCGCCTCTGAGAGAGGTCAGAATGAGGTCCTGGGGAGAAATCTAAGCCCTCTGACGTGTGTTTCTAAAGTTTGTTTTTATGCTATAATTATTATTATCATTTTTAATGATGTTGTGTGTCCTCCCTTTGTTCAGTGGACGGTTAAACCTTTTTATTTTCCCCCAATATTTTTCTTTTTCTCTTTTCTTTTGTCTTTTTTTTTCTGTAAACAAAAATGACATTCAGTTAAATGATAAGGAGCATTGCAGTAGGGTCCCCAACTGCCAAGTAGGACATGACTGGGAGTGTTAGGGGCAGAAGTTTTTAATGCACTTAACCCGGGGGCGGGGGCAGGTAGTTGCATCAAACAAGGAGGAATACCACACCAACTGTGGTGTCTCTGGGCTGGACAGTCGGGAGGCAGTGTTTAGAATTGAAATTGGGCTCTAAGAATGAGTGGGGAGAGAGCCTGGAGGGAGAAGCTTTAAAACTTAACCACCCTGGAATTGACCCGTAGAGAAGGGGGAGGAGGAGCAAGATGATGAGCGTATTGCTGAGCCAAGGAGGACTGAGACCAGGTCCTGGCCTTCTGGATGCTGGGGGAATAATATTGGTCTCCTGACCCCAGTGCAGACGTGGAAGTCTATTCCAGGCCAACTAGCCCCAAATTATTTTATCTTTTTTATTTTTTTGTAAAATTCTCCCCTACTCCCACCTTTTTTTAAAAAAAATCCTAATCTGCCCCCAGTAACCACAGCCCTGTCTGTAATAAAGAGGAATGGCTGTTCCCAATCTGCGATTGCTGGGTGTCCTAGAGGTTGGAATGGGCATGAGTGATTGAAATGACAAAGGGAGGAAGTAGATGACTGAAGACAGGCTTTCTGCCCGACTGCTGAGACTCACGTTTGTCTCTCCTTTTATCCTCTGAGTGACAGGAGATGAGGATGAGGGCACTAATCAGGTTGGACTCCTGGCCTGACCCTGCTGCACTAACTGCAGAACCAGTTGCTCAAAGCCAAACAGCTCGTGTCAAAACCAGCTTTGGACCTCTGCTATAAAAGTAGTTGTCTCTTTCCCCCCAGAAGTCTATTCATTTTGCTTTTTTGTTTGTTTTTATTTTTTCCTTAAGCGCTACTAATGTAGAGAATGAATTGAATTGTGCAATGTTGCTGTTCTGGCGATTGGGGAGATGAACATCCCATTTGCCCACACCGTGGGGGAAGAGGGAGGGGACCAGGCTGTTTCTGAGGTAAGGGAAGCCCCTTAAAGGTAGGGGTTTCTGCTCTCTTCATAGTATACACCCACCTGCCTCTTCAGCTCTAGAAGCTGCCAGAGTTTGAGGAAGGGGTACTCTCAGCAGAGAGGTGTGAAGAGGAGTTGAACATTTTGCCTGTGAAAGCCACCTGGGGAAGTTCCCCCACTTTTATTTTTAAAAATTAAATAGTTTTTTTTAAAGTAAAAGGCACTTTTAAAATTAACACACACACAAACTGCACATCTTCCCCATAAAGTTTGGGGATGGGATGGGAGAAGGAGCTGGAATCAGGCTCAGTTCCCCCCACTCTGGCCTCAACTCCCCATACCCCAGAGCCACTGTGGATGATTATACTTGGCCCTACGGGCCTTCCTGGCTTTTTTTCTTTCCTCCCTTCCCCTAAATTCATTGAGCACTTAATAAAGGAGCAGAGATGCAGCCTGTGTCTGGGCTCCCCCAGTGGTGAAATGATCTGGAAGCTAGATGCTAGTAACAGGTAGTGATGGGGTCGTTTCAAGTATTTTTCTGGGGAATGTGGTACCCCTGACTGTAAGTGGTGGGAGAGGGAGGGGGGTTAATGGAACTGGGTCTGGGATTATTTTAAAATTATATATATATATATAAAGATATATTCTTACATCTTTTCTTTGCCCTCTGTGCTTTGAAAGCACTGGATAAATCGTTTGGTTTTGCGTTTCTCTTCCACGAAATTGGAAGCTGTTTTTTTTTTTTAGTATTTTTCCTACAAGTCATCTTGCCTTGTGGCATGTCTGTCTAGCCTCTCCCCCGCCCATAATGAAGTGCCATTTCTGTTATGTCTCCCACCCCCAGCTCAGAGGTGCTCAGAGGTACGAGGTGCCCAAGTTTGTCAGTTGAGATTAAAAGTGAGGAAGAGAGAATGTGCAATACCTTCTGGCTGGGGGCCATCCCTGCCCTGAGCTGAGTCCCTTCCCTGGGAGCCAGGCCACCTTTGAATGGGTTTGGAAGTAAGATGTGTAGAGATGGGGAATGATGGGGAAGGAAAGCCTATAGTCGAGTGCCTGCCAAGGTGCTGAGGCGATGGGGGAGAGGGTAGAGTCTTCCCTGTTTTTATTCCCTCAGGGTCGATTGCATAGAGGCTGCTCGTTGACTAGTATAGCTCCATGACCCTTTGCTCAATCACTGAGGTTTGATTTGTTACCCTCTCTTCTCCCAAATTTTATATCCTTCCCAGGGATTAGTGATGGGGGTGAGGTTTCCCTAATCATGGTAAAGTGTTAGCCTTCCACCTCCTCCCTTCCCTCCCTCTCCCCTGTCCTTCTGTCTTCCTCATTTCTGTGCTTTTTCATCATTGATTGCCTTGTGTCCCTCCAAGTCTTTTGTTGCTATCCATCCCCAGGCATTGGGCCCCATAGACACTAAACCTTATGCCCTAAAGATAGGAGGAAAGACCCTCTGTTCAGAGTTTCTTTTACTCCTGGAGCTCTGAAGCTCAGGGTAGTACTAAAGTGAGGATCCCAGTAGTTCTCCCTGGCTTCCTCCATCTCCAGAGGCTCTAAAAGTAGTAGTTTATGGACAGTGGCTTACTCCCCAGAAGCCTGAAATGGGTGGATGAGTGGTAAGGCTTGGGTAAAGCTGAGGGACAGAGGTCCTTATTTGTTGGGGTTTTTTTTTTTTTTTTTGTCATTTGACCACAGCATCTGGACTTCCTCCATCCTGGAATAAGTATTTTTTCCACATTTTTGGATGTATGTATGGTAGACAATTTTTTTTTAAGACACAGAGATTAATGTTTTCCTGCTTTGGTTACCTTTCCTTTCCCCTTTAAAAGGAATTAGCTATAGAACTGCTTTGTAAAGATGCTTCTTGATATTTTACTTTTGTTCCTTTTCCCCAACCACTCCCCTTTCTCCCCACTCCTCCAGAAGGCATAACCCTTCTCTCCACACCCCCCACCCCCACCCCAGTCCTAGGCTCCCTTCCCCTCAACAAGACTTTCATTAGCTTATGATATTTGCTGCCGAGATGTTATAACAAGGACTCATCGTGTATATAAGCTATTTCTTGATCCATTTAAAAGGAATTGTACATTGTGTAGAAAAAAAAAAAAACCTGAAAAAGAGAAAAAAAAGCCCTAGCCATGGATATTGTGAAACTGTGTTATGTCATTTTGTAATGTGCCCGTTTGTGTATGATCCGTGCAAAAGGGTTTCTGGGGAAGGGGAGGGGGTAGGGAGGCAGGGCTGTGGAGGGTGGGTAGGAGAGTGGGCCGGGCCCAGCACACTGAGACTGGCAGCTGCTCTAACCCCATCCCTCCTTAGAGATGCCACCTCCCCCACCACCCACCCCTAATTTGTGCCTTGCCTCCCCACCCTGGAGTAGTCCCTCCGGGTCACCAGCACTGCCTTGGCAGAGCCCACTCCCTACCCTAACCTGCCCACTCTCCCTACCCCCCAGCATTAGGTTGATACTGTGGGGAAGTGCTGGGGGCTGGGAGGTAGCCGAGGAATGGGGCAGTTCCCGGGGGCATTGAAACCAAGTATTATGAATTGTAATTGTATTTGCACTGTTTTTTTTCTCTGATTGCATCAGCATATATACAATATACCTATATAACAAAATTCAGTGTCAAGCTTTCTTATGCAAGGGATTTTCCCCACCCCACCCCACCCCCCAAAAAAGAACCTAGTTTCATGGGCCTTTGAGTGTGGATTGTCAAGGGATGATAAAGAGAAAGGATTTTAACAAGTCATCCTGAAAAAGTCTCACTTAGGGAGAGCTACATCCATCTGCACACAGTCTTAGGCTTTGCAAATTGGGGTGAGGCTTGGCTACAGTGAGAGCTAAGGTTCTTAGTCAGACTGTGGAGAGTGAAAAGAACCACAATACAAAGGGGGTGGGGTGGTGGCACAGTCTGAAGACCTGGGGTCTAGTCCCAAGCTTTCCTACTAACTTACTACGTGACCTTTGGTAGAGTTAATTTTCTGGGTCTCAGTTTTCTTATTTGTGAAGTGACGGGAGATCATCTGGCCACCAAGTTTAAAATTCTATTCTGTGCTTCCTTCCCCACCTATAAAACAAACCAAAACAACTTGAGGTGAGGGAAGTGTTGGGCTGAAAAACCAGGGAGGAAACCAAAGTGACTAGTATTGAAGTGGTTGTATGTGTGGCAATGCCCTTGGAGAGCTGCCAGGCCTGTACTGTTACTTTTGGTTTGGGAAAGGCAGCAGAGTGATGTCTAGGACATCAGTTAGACCTGTGACATCTTTGCCCTCTTGCCGCTAGTCATCTGAGGGCAGGAACCCGGCCCCAAGCCCCACCTCCGCAAGTGGCCACAGGGCCCCTAAGGGTGGTTGACCAATGAATGCCCCAGGTTGGTGGTCTAGCTACTTACACCCTTTGTGAGCTACAGGATGCAGAACTTCCCCCATCTTCTTAGTGATAGTATAGGAGAGCTCAGACACAGTCCACATCTTGTCTCCTTCCCTCAGATCTCATCTGAACCCCCTAAAGGCAGCTGTCCCACAGTCTGTCTCCTTCAGGGGCCCAACTTCCCCACAGCCTGGGCTGAGTACTCCCACATTCTTTAGGTTCTTGGCTGGTAAAACCTGGAGAGGATACAGGATGGTGGGTGAGGCCCTGGTGAAGGTGTAAGGATAGATTGGGGGTGGGGGGTGGGGAGCAGGGAGGTGGGATGGGGAATGGCCTTCTCTGAATGGGGTGGGTGGGAGGGGAACAAGACCCTTTTGCACAACTCTCTTTAAGTTTCCTTTTTTTTTTTTAACCTCATTCTAATTTTCTGCATTGTGTTTGGGAATTAAAATGAAAAAACTAAGACCAATAGAAACTGGTTTTCAAAAAGGCAAATACACTCCCATCTGTTTCAGATGCTGCTGAGCATTTCAGCAGTGACATTCAAATAATAAGCTAATTTTTGGAGAAAGGATTAAAAGAAAAAAAACTTTGTAATATTTATCACTTGCAAGCTATGTTTAATAAAGAAAGGAATGGTTTCTAAACTTTCCTGTGGCCTGTGCTTTAGTCATGGTTGGGGCAGGGGTGGCAGCTTGGTGGGAGAATTTTAGGGGTAACTGGGAGATGAGCGTGTGGCTTGTACCTCTACAGTTGTGGCGTTCTTTTGGTGTGTACCCTTTCCTTCAATTGTGATGGTGATTTGAAGCCCCTACTTACTTGTGTATTCTTATTCCCCTCCACCTTGATGTGGAAGCAGTGTTCTGGAAGCCACTGCCCCCACTTTAGTTACCTGATGACTTACAGTCTATAGGTATTGGGAAAGAGGCAGCATTTAAAGATTTTATTTTTCCTCCTTCTCCACAAAGCCACCCGGTACATAGTTATATATTTTAGTTGTGGGTCCTTATAGTTGTGGCATGTGGAATGCCGCCTCAGCATGTCCTGATGAGCGGTGCCGTGTCCACGCCCAGGATCCGAACCGGTGAAACCCCGGGCGGCTGAAGCGGAACGCACGAACTTAAACCACTCGGCCACGGGGCCGGCCCCCAGGAGGCAACATTTAACCCAGAGGCTGGGTCTCCATTCTGTCCTAGAGAGAGGTGTCCCCTAGCTGTCCTTGGCCCTTCCCTTCACACTGCTCTAGTATCTAGTAACTGAATCCTTTGTGACATGCTGGTTTCTCCAGGTGAGCTGCTCTGCTCTTAGCAAACTGCAGTATGGTTCCTTAATGTGAATGCAGCATCCCCTGAAAGACCTTGAACTGCTGTGTCTTAGCACTTCATCACCCCAGTCTCCCAGGTTTTCCTTTCAACCCAGAACGCTAACCAGATCCTAATTTATTTTTTCCATTTTTGTTTTTTATTTCCAACAAAGCACTTAGACCAGGCCCACCCAGAGAAGGGTGTGATTTCCTCAAGAACTCGAAAGTTGGGGCTGTTCTTAACCCCTTGGTCCCCTGCCACATGTCTTAGTTAAAGCTGTTTTTGCCCCTCATGCAGAAGGAGCAGTTGTGGAAGGGCAGGGCCCAGCCTTGCTGGAATCTTGTCATTGGTACTAGCAACACTCTACAAGAGCACAGAGGAGACAATGTTTGGGGTCCCCTAAGCCCTAGGTTTTTCTTCCTCCAAGACCCTCCCCACTTTTTGGCACAATACTGTACAGCTCTAGAGGGAGAGGCTGATAGAAGGAGAGCCTGAGGCTTTGGCTTTAGGGTATGGTAGAGCTGGATGAGGAGGGACAGTGGGGCCCTGGGTGCCGTAGGCTGGCAGAGGGAGGAGTGGGGAAGAGGTGCTCTTTGGACACTAGAATTGGAAATATATGGGTGGGGTGCTCCACAGCCTCTGTGCTCATTCTGCAAGGGATTCAAGGCCATCAAAACCCCAAATCAAACTATCTCTCCTTTCAAAAATAGAAATCAAATGGGGAGGGATGCCCCTGAAGAGGGGCCGATGCTTTGGATCTGGGAATGGGGAGATGGGTATTTGGTTGCTCAGAGAAGCGGCTCATGGGAGCTCGAATGTTCAGAACTCTTAGGGTTTGGGGGCAAGGGGACAAGGAACTCAGCATCCCCTTTGTCCACCTGCACACTCAGACCACAAGGAATGCAGGTTGCCTGTCCCTGGGTCAGACCTCAGCTTGGCCATGAGGAGACAGAAACTGACATTTCAGACTAGAGATCCTGGTTATGAGATGGAGGTGATAGGCAGAGCCTCTGGCCCTGCCTCCCCACTTTGGGGGGAATCCTTAAAGCTGTTTATCTTTGGGTAGGTTCATGTTTGGATCAAGAGGATATATTGGATGGGGTTATGAGGCAGGAGTGTCGGGGTTGGGGCTAACTCCCAGCTGAGCTTGGTTTCCTTTGAAGTTATTTGGTGTGTTGGGGATAAGGATAGGGATTTCCCCATTTCTTGAGAAAGAGGGAGGAACAGAGAAACCACACCCTCTTCTCTCTCCCTATGGTCAGGCCTGCCCCTCCCCGGAGAGGGGCTGAGGGACCTTTGGTTCTTTTCCTGACTCCGGGTGACAGGGACAAGTGACGTAGATTCTTTGGTGGAGCCAGAGTTAGTGGCATCTTGGAGGGAGCCAACTCGGAGGGCCCTAGGGCTGTTCCACAGTCACCTGAGGAGGAAGGAGGTGGTCAGGCCTGAGCCCCAGGGCCTGAAAACATACCACATTGCCCTACCCACTCCCCCTCACTTGAATCTCCCTCACCTGAGTGACGAGTTCAGTCTTCTCCCCTGGCTTCCCTCCACTTGGAGCCTGGCTTCCATGGCCCCCAGCTCTGACCGAGGCAGTCTGAGGCACTGCCCAGCACTCTCGGGACCCCTGTCTGCAGAGGAGGCTGCCCAGATAGGAAGAGTCAGCACCATGACCTGTCTGGGGCTTCCCTCTGGCTTCATATCCATCAGCCCCAGCCCTTCATCCTGTTCCATATTCCCCAGGGATGGAGAAGCTGAGCCCCATCCTTCTGCACAGGATGCCAGGGCTCTGGCTCTGGCCCACTTCTGCCACCTGTCCCCTGCCTTGAGAGCCACAGTGTTCTCTGCCCTGCTTTATGCAGCCCACCAGGCCTCCTGCCACTGCTGATACCACACAGCTCTGAGAAGAACTGGCTCTCCCCCTCTGCCTCAGTCTCCTCATTTGTAAAATGGATTAGTAATGGATAAGGGCTCTTTCCTGCTCTTTGGCCCTGTGCCACAGTAATGTAGACTGTCTTTCTAGCAGTTTTCCACATTAGCCATCCTGGCCCTTACCTATGTTTCCAGCCCAGGAGAAGGCAGAGGAGGCAAACGATGAGGGCAGCCAGGCCCACGTGGATGCCCACCATAACCCCAGGCAGCGAGCTGCTCTCATCCTGGCTGCAAGAGCACCCAGCCTTGGACTCTGTGGACACAGTGCCATCTGTCAGAGGCCCAAGATGGAAGCAAAGCCCAGTCCCTTCTCCTCCCTGAAGACTGACAGCCGTGGGTCCTATGGGAGTGGCCTGCTCTGACCCCAGGCCTACTACCCTCCTACCGGACCCCACTCACCAGGGGTGGTCAGGGGCACATCACGCAAAGAGACAAAACGAACACTGCTGTTACCATCCCCGTTGCCATTGAATGCCTGGAGCTTGATCTCATAGAGAGCAGCTGGCTCTGCAGGGAGCAGGAGATTGTGAAGGGAACAGGCCTTCCTGGGTCAGGAAGCTCAGTGCCTGGGGTGAGACCACGCTGAGAACAGGGACCCAGGGGTGGCACAAGAAGGTTCAGGGCCTCACCCAGATCTGTGTAGAGGAAGGAGCTGACACTGCTGGCCAGGAGCAGGGGCCCCTCAAAATGGGAAGCTGGCAGTTTGCGGTGAAAGAGTTTGAAGCCCTGGATGGGTCCCAGCTGGGGTGGCAGCTCCCAGGAGGCCTGCACGGAGGTAGCATTGAGCACTTTGGCGGAGAAGCCCAGGGCAGCAGGGGCTGCAGAGGAAAGGGGATGAGCTGGTTGGCAGCCCCTGTCTGCCTGAGGCCCGGGGCTCTACAGGGCTGGAGAGGCTGTCACTCACTGCTGCCCATGGTGGAGGCGTGGATGGAGGCAGAGTCCTGGCTGGCACCCTCTGCTGAGTAGGCCCACAAGTGGATCGAGTAGACTGTGGCAGGCTCCAGGTTGGAGAAGACATGCTCAAAGGTGCTTTTGCCCACGGCCTCTTGGAGCTCTGAGCCAGCTGGCTCTGAGGAGCAGAACAGCTTGGCAACCCAGCATCTCTCGCCCTCACTACAAACATCCCCACCCCCACAAAGTGGGCACGAAGTCCCTCCTGGTGCCTTGCTGGGCCGGCCAGGCCTCCAAAGGAGAGCAGGGAAGGGGCTGCAGAAGTTGGAGCTGGGATAAGAAAGGCTGAGGGTGAGAAAGGGCCTGAAAAGCCTAAGGAAGCACCAGAGGACCACAGAGCCAGAATCCTGGCAAGAGTCCACACAGGTCTGGGGTCACTAAGAGTGAGAGAAACTTGCCCAGGGACACCACCAGCCAGGGGCAGAGGTGGGCTGGAGCAGGAGATTCCTGTCCACACACCCACCTCCTACAGGCCGGAGATGCAGCACATAGCCGATGATGTCCCCATTGGAGGGGGGTGGTTCCCAGGACACTCGAATGGCAGAGGCGGAGAGAGCCATAGCCCGCAGGCCCCTGGGGGCGGGGGGTGGCTCTGGGTCCCCTGTCACAGCCAGGTGGGCACTGGCCTGGTTGGAGCCCGCACTATTCTCTGCCACGCATTGGTAGATGGCCTCGTCCTCAACTGAGATCCCTGCCAGCATCAGTGTGCTAGGGAAAGACAAACAGCTGCTGGGGGCTACTTCTCACCAAGCCGCCTCCCCAGTGGAATGGCCCTAAAGGAGGCTGCCTGTCTCAGAGACCCACAAATCTGCCCAGGGACACAAGGACACAGCACCTGTGTGTGGGCATTACTATAGTAGAGCAGGCAGGGCAGTGCCTCCTGTGATGGGGATGTCTGTTGGGGGTTTGTGTAGATTTTAGAGAGTAGATCTAGGTAGAGAGTGTTAATGTGCAGGTGGTGATGGAAGCCTGGGGCAGGTGAGGGTACCTACGGTTGGCAGTCAGGCAGTGGGTGGGACCCGGGTACCTGTTGTTATGGGTCAGCTGAATGTTATCCCCAGGACTCAGCACCTTCCCATTCTTCAACCAGATCAGGTGGGGCTCAGGGACACCCTGGGCCACACAAGTGAAGATGGCGCTGCTGCCTGCAGGCTTGGACAAGGACTGTGGCCACTGGACAAACTTGGGGGGAGCTGGAGAGGCAACGGCAGGTGGAAGGCACGTGAGGCCCAGCCTCTTGTCCTCCTCCTGCTCCTGCCCCTCTCCCCATCCAGTTTCCCATGGGGAGATGGGGTGCCCCAGGAGCCTCCTCATCCAGCCTTCGGGGCTCACCCTGCACCAGCAGGATACCCTGCGCCGTGCGCCGGACGCGAGTGCCTGGCCGGTTGGCAGCGCAGACGTAGACGCCCGAGTGCTGGACTGACACGTCAGAGATCATAAGGTTCCCGGTGCCCAGGACTTGGATGCCCTCCACGCCAATGGAACGGCCATCTGCAGGGAGGCGAGGGGTCAGGGCTGGGAAAGGGCAAAGGGCTGGGCTCTGGGAGGCAGGGTGGGGCAGCTGCGCACCCAGGCGGCTCCAGGAGACAAGTGGCTGTGGGTGGCCGGTGGCGATGCACTCCAGCACTGCTGTTTGGTGCACCGTGAGTGTCAGGTTCTGAGGCCCCGACAGGATCTCCGGCTCCTGCAGCAGCCGCGGGGATCCCACTGCGAGGTGGAAACAGGCAAGTTGAGGGATCAAGAAATAGCACTCTTCCCCCAAGCCCAGTACACACTTCTGCTCCCGGAGCCCCCTTCTTGTCCTCAATGGACCAGACCTCAGAGCAGCTCTGGGCAGCTGCTATCTGATTCCCAGTTTACAGATAAAGAAAATGACTGTCCCAAGGCCCCATGGCGGTAAATGTTAGGGCTAAGAAGCTTTGGCATAGTGAGCAGGCCCCAAGTTAAACTGGTGGGGAGGAGAGAGGAAAGAGTGTAAGCACGCCCTCATGCGTACCCTGCGTACCCCAGGACGGCCTGCTGCAGTGTCAGAACATGAACTGGCCCCACCTTCCCTGGGAGCCTCGCCCTGTGGGGCAGGTAGGAGCAGGAGCCTCGTCCGCTTCCCCAAGTCGCCCACAAAGACCCCTCCTTCAGAAAGAAACCAGGCCTCCCTCAGAGCTCAGCATGTCTCAACTGCTCAGGAGGGATGTAAACGTTGTTTGAAATATAGTACTATTTGGGTCTAACCTGAACCTTCATTTTATGCCACCCTCTCCCATTTTATTAGGTTATTCAACAAATCATCACTGGGGGGCTCCCGTGTACCAGGCACTCTTCTCACACTGGGAGTACAGCTGTGAACAACAGGGAAAGAGGGGCCTTTGTTTTCCTTTATCCTGTCACCTCCATTTTTGTTTTGCCACTTTGTATTTTATGAGACTTTGTAATGTATCTTTAACCCTTTCATAAATGTCCTTAAGAACTTCTCATACAAAATTTTGTGTCTCTAAAATGAAAGTTTCTCAAGGACTGGTATAAAGTCTTAAACATCTTTAAATATTCCTCGAGGCCTAGATAGTATTTCTTTCATTCATTCACTTACTCATTTATCCATCCGTTCATTCTGCAACCAAATATTGAGGGCCTGCTTTGGGCCCGGCACTCCACAGTCTGCCTCTTAGAAGCTCTCGTTCAGGCTCTGGGCTGTCTGGGAATGTCCTGGTCTTGGCCAAGGAGGCTGTGTTCCACCTGGTCAGACTGTTGAGCGGGAAGAGCCTGGACCATGTAATGACACTTCAGCGATCGCTGGTGGAACCGCTCACAGGCCAGGCGTTGTGCTGTGAGCCCTGCACACACTCATTTAATTCTCACTACAGCCTGTGAGGCAAGTGCTTTTATTTCTCCACGTTTACAGATGAGAAATCGAGTGTCAGAGGAGTTAAGTAACTTGTCCAATGTCAGAGAGATGGCAGAAATGGGACTCAAACCTGGATCTCAGAAGCACTGAACAGCTGACAGCATACCCCTCCTGCCACTGTGAGCTCTTTGAAAGTCTGGGAAATTCTGTCTCCCTGGTGCCTCCCCAGTGTAAGGTCTGCCCCAGGGGAGTGCTTTAGGAATAAATGGTCTGAGGCCTTCGTCCCCAGCTCCTATCCCTGGGGAAGAGCCTACACTGACCCAGCTCCTTTCCTGATGTTTAGGCAACCGGCAAACCCTTGGTTACTGCTTGATCCTCTGCTCCCAACAAGCACCTGCTCCTCCTCCTTCTGACCTGCCTGAAGCCCCCTAGCCCTGCATTCCCTGCCTTCTTGGGCAGCAGGATGGAGGCCCCGTGCCTGCCCCTGATAGCCGGTCAGGAGCACAGAGCATCATGGAAGCACTGCATTGTGTCCTGCCCTCCTGCTCCAGATGGTTCATGGGAACGGGAAGTGGGAAGCCAGAGGAACCCCACCTGGCCTTCCCTCTGCTCTCGGAGCAGCCCCTGATCCCCACCCTTGGCTTTCAGTTCCTAAGTCAGTTCCAGATGCCCCCTCCCCCTTCAGTCTTCAATTTTAAAGTTGCACATCCTTCGGTAAAATTTTGTCAAAGATGTTTTGAAAGTCTATGCGAAGGTGCCTGATGCAGGCCCAAGGTTCACTTGTTATTTATCCTATGGAGCCCCCTCGTGGACGATTCTGGCACACCTTCTCTCAGAGCCACCTGTGGCATCTTGGCTTCAGGCTGTGGGGGGAGTCTCAGGCCCAGTCTCCTGCTGGGCACCAACTCATAGGCTCTGCCACCACCCTCACTGTGGGCACCAAACTCTGCTACCCACTTGGCCTGCATTTGGCGTCGTCCTGGGTATTTCATCTCAGGTACAAAGCTATTTTCATCCTCACCCCAAGGAGGAAATGTGCAAGTGTGCACACACACATGCACAAACACTTGCACATACACACACCTAGAATTGCACCCAGGCATCCACTCCCAGCTGAGACAGAGCCTGACTCTGAGCCCCACTCCAAACCCATCAAGGGCTCCCTCCCCCTGCCCTCTAGATGAGGTCCAAACTCCTGTTCATGATGGCGCTTGCCCACCTCTCCTACGTCAGTTCTTGTTGCCTTGCACTCTGCTCCTTCTATGGTCCAGCAACATGGAACTGCCTGCATATTCTCACCCTTGTCCTTTTGCACAGGGAAATGCCAGGAATGCCACCCTGTCCACCTTCCAGACCTTGGCCTGCCTCTGTCCCCTCACCTTTCAAGATCCAGGTTGGTGTAGCTTACTCCTGAAGCCCCTGACCATCCCTTGCCCACAGCCCAAGGCTGAGTTAGAGGTCCCTGTGCTGGGTTCCCACAGCCCTTCCCTCTCTACTAGGTTGTGAGCTCTGGGAAGCCCGTGATGGGCTGAGCCTGTTCAGTCTGCTTACTGCTGTCCTCCCATACCCAGCACAGTGCTTAATATACAGTAGGTGCTCAGAATGTCTGTCTTTACAAAGTATCTGTACCACATACAACCACATCAGCCACACCCACTCCCAGCAGCACCAGCTCCCACCCACCTTTCTGCCCAATGCCCATTCTGACTCCCCTGGGACTTGCTTACTGCTCAGGCTCAGCTGGGCATCCTGGCTGTGGCGGGTGTTGGCCACGTTGTGGGCCACGCAGCGGTAGGTGCCCACGTCAGCTTGGCTCACGCTGGTGATGTGGAGGATGCCACCAGGAAGCAGTGTGATCCTGAGGATACAGAAGTCAGGGGTCCACAGTCTGCACCCTGGCCCCCAGCCTGCCACCCACCACACTCCTGGCTGGTGCTCACCGGTGGTCAGCAGTACTCAGGGCCATGCCATTGTGCTCCCAGGAAATGGAGGGCTCAGGCACCCCCCGGATCAGGCACTGGAAGCGGGCAACTCCACCCTGCTCCACCTCGACGGACTCTGGATGTTGGTGGAAGCGAGACAGACCTAGGGCACAGGGGACCACCTGAGCATGGCCCTGAGCCAGCCCTGGGCTTTGCCCCCAGCATCTATGTCCTAGAGCCCTGGCTCCCACCTCTGTGCCCGCATCTGCTACCTCCTGCTGACCTCTTCACTGTGCAACAGGGCATAGTGACTTTTGTGGGCCATAAGCACTTTGCCTTCCTCCATAAAAAACATTTAAAATTATATTTTACAATTGCATTGGTATAAAGACAAATCTAATTCAGGCTGGACTCATTATAATATATTCATTATTATAGTCATTTTTTTCTTCTAATGTTCAAGAAATTAAAATTAAAACATTTTTGTGGGACCCTGACATTACCTTGGGCCCTAGACACTGGGCATGCTGTGTCCAAAGGCTGAGTCAGCACTGCCCAGGCCCACTCCGGGCAACTCCGTGCCCCATGGGTGCCCTTTATGGGTGCCCCTGTGCACTCTTATTCCCCCACCCCCAGGAGCAGCCCAGTTACTTACTTGCCAGCTGTACCCGAGCCCGCCGGCTCACCAGTCGCCCATAGCGGTTCTGGGCCACACAGTGGTACTCATGGGCACGGGAGGGGAGGCTCCGGCGGGAAGGCAGGGCAGCCAGGTGCAGGGAGCCATCCGGCATCAGGGTGGCACCACTGTCGTTAGCCAGGGCCAGCCCATCCCGCTGCCAGGAAATGGACACGGGAGGCTCACCCTCCACCTGGCAGGGCAGCACCAGTGGGTGCTCCCTCACGGCTACCACGTCCCCCGGCTCCTGCACGAAGGCCAGCTCGGAGCCTGCAGTGTGGCCTGTGGGGACAGCCAGCAAGGCCTGGATATGGCGGCCTCCTGTGGCCACCACCTCCCCTCAGTTCTGACCCTCTTCCAGCCTCAGCAAGGGGCGAGGAGGCAGGACTTTGCTTCAGGGGACCTTGGGGCAGCCGAGGTGGAGGGAGGTGGGGAGCAGGGCCTAGCAGTCTGAGGAGCTGGGCCGGGTGGGCTGCTGTCTGGCTAGCGAGCCAGGCCTCGCGGGCCGCCATGATTGATGGCCTCTTTCAGCCAGGCCTTGGCAACGGGGAGGGGGCGGAGTGGGCACAATGATGAGGTCAGGGGCCCAGGCGTGGGCATTGTGCTCCCCAGGGGACAATGGGGTCCATCCTCCCTCCCCCGCCAGCCCATCTGCCTGTCTGCCCGCAGGGTCAGCTTCCCAGGACTCCTGGCTCTCCCCCTCCCCCTGCCAGGACCCTGGCCCCTGAATAGGGAAAGAACACGCTTATACTCACACACACTCACTCACAGACACACACCCTTGGACTAAAAATCCCAACCTCACAGACCTCCTCACGTTCTAGACACAGATGGGTTCCATCCCAGACACATGCCCACACACAGAGGACACAAACATAGGTCGCACAGAGATGTCCCTATAGACTCAAGGCCACAAATACACAAGCATGGGGCAACAAGCACCAATGTCACAGCCCAGAAATGCATGAGCAGAGCCGTGGACCCACATGCATCGACTGCCCTACCACGCACAGTAAATAAGATAACTCAGCCTGAAGGCTGAGCTGGGCCCTGCCCAGCAGATGGGGGGTGGATGGGTGGGCAGACAGTGGCCTTGAGGGACCAGAGCCTGCAGCCTCATCCAGCCTCGGCACTCACAGGGACATCTGTGGGGAAACATCTTGGTTCCCGCCTTTCCAAGACCCTCTGCCTCACAGCCCCTCCTAACCACTCGCTACATGGCCCCCCGCTCCCCTTCCAGCTAGCACAGCCCCAGGACTGTAGCCAATCTTGGCTCCCCAGAGGCTCTCCCCACATATAACTCTGTCTTACACACACATGTCCTTCCTGCTTACCCCCCACCCAGCTGTCCTACAGGGTTTCTGCACCTCTGCTCCTGTCACCTCTGTCCTTCTCCCCCATTTTGCCCCCCAACTCTCCCATTCCTATGTCTTCCCCTATTCTTCCACCCACCATTCTCACCTGGCTCCCCCATTTCTCCCCCATGGCCCTCGTCTTCCTTCTCCCCTCCAGCCCTGCAGCCCCATCACTTACCCCAGTCTTGGAGCAGCAGCAGCAGCAGCAGCTCCCGCCCCATGTCCCCACAGGCCCAGCCCCCTCAGCCCAAGGCCACTTCCCAAGCAGCCCTGGTCTTCTGCCTTCAACCTGGGGGCCCCTGGGCTGTGGGCATTCCCTACCCCACACTTGGGGGGCACAGTGTATGGGCTCTGGCCTTGCTTTGGGGAGCCCGGGATCTGTGGGGGCCAAGGTCTGGGGTCGAGGCTGGAGGCTGCTGTCCTTCCCTCCCTCCTCCCTGGAGCTGGGTGTCTCTCTGCTTTCAGCCTGAGCTCCCTCCCCACTCCCATCCCCACTGTCCCTTCCTCCCAGGGCCAGGACCCAGACACAGAGACAACTGGGGCATGGAAAGGGGAGGGGGCAGGAGCCAATGAGAGCATGGCAAAGTTGGGGGGTCAAGCCTGCCCCTTTCCCAGCCTCCAGAATCCTCTCCCAGCCTGCTAGACCCACCCTTTACTCCCTCTCAAACTCTGAATGAGAGTGAGGTTCTAGGGGGAGTTGGGGCATCTGCTCCCCTGAGACCATCTCTAGGGATCCAGGGCCTGGACAGGGGGTGCTTGGAGTCTGATTTGGGGGTCCCAGGGAGGGACACAGAGCCCCCAACCTCCTAGCAGAGTCGCTGTCCCAGGTGCTGAGCCAGGGCCCAGCATGGGGGAGCTCATCCCATTAGCTTGGTCACGGCCCCAGCAGCCCCCTCACCATTCATAGTGTCACTTTCCAAAGCTCTTCTCTCTATTCTTGTTTGGACAATGGGTTGGGGCCGTCAGGGGCCAAGAGGTGGCCAGCCGGCGGGAGGTTGGACCCAGCCTCCACTGCCCCATCCTAAAGAGAAGAAAGAGACCCACACCCCCTCCCCTTGGCGGGCAACCATCTAAAACATGCAGAAAGCAGGGACTACCCTTTTACCAAAGGAGCCAGGGACTCAGAAAGGGACTGACTGCAGTACCATTGCCATTTCTGCAGTACCTACCTCCCAAAAAACAGAGCTTCCGGAAAGATGTAGCGTGTCTGTGAGAGAGGATAAGGAGAAAAAGCAGGGTGGGGAAATCTGGCTGGGGCAGAACCCAGGCTTCCACCCCAGAAGCTCCAGCCAGTCTGGCCCCTGACTGGCTCTCTGTGAGCCCCCCTCCCCTCACTCCTTCCCCTCAGCTTCTGGTGTCTGGCTTTGCCCTGCCTAGCTTAGGCTGTGCCCCTATCTTTTCAGCACAAGCCCCCATGCTCAGTCTGCGCCCCAGCATGCTCAGCCTCCTCTCCAGCTCGCCCCACCTTCCTCACAGGTATTCCCGAATCGGCTCATTTAACACTGCCTCTCCCAGCCCAGCCTCCTCCTCCCAGACCAGCAGTCCTCACTGTGTGAGATGAGGGAGCTGGCAGCCTCCCCACCGCGCTTCCCTCACCCAGCCCTGCATCTCTCTGTCCTGGAGCCTCTGATGCGGGTTCCCATCCTTTCCCCTGAGCAAACTCCTGAGTCAGAGCAGACTGGACAGGAAGAGGATTATAGGTCCTGAGGTCAGGGAGATGTGGTCCAAATCACTTATGAGCTGTGTGTCCTCTGTAGGCAATTTTACCTCTCTGAGCCTGCTTTGTCTATAAAATGGAGGTGGATGTGTGAGAGAAGCAACTTCCCTCCACGACTGGGAGGATTAAATGGGGTAAGGGCTTAGAATGGAGCGTGCAGAGGGGCACCTTTGCGGGATTGTGTCACGCCCTTCTTCCCTGTCTGCTTCTCCCTGTTGCTGTCAGAACTCCCCCCTCTCCAATACCTACTGAGAAGATGCCTCCTTATGTGTAGCACTTGCCTTGTCACCTCCGAATTCACACTCCAGCCTGGCCCACAGGACAAAGATGGACCAATATGGAAGACCTGGCTTCAAGTCCAAGCCTGTGGCTGACAGCCATCTTGCCTTGGGCTGGGGCCCCTCGCCTCCCTGAGATTTCCCCACCTGTAAAATGGGAAGGAGGGCAAGACCATCTTCCCGAGTTGTGAGGATCCAGCGAAATGCATTGCACCTTAAGGGCCCAGCACGACTTCTTTCCTCCTCTTGCTGCTGCTGCTTTTTAAGAACAGTATTATGGAGCTATAATTTACAGACCACAAAGTTCACCTGTTTAAGCTGTACAGCTCAGCAGTTTTACTATATTTACAGAGTTGAACCATCACCATAATCTATTTTAGAACACTTTCATCACCCCTAAAAGAAACACTGTATCCATCAATGTTCACTCCCCATCTGCCCACCACGCCCCGGACAATCACTCATCTACTTTCTGGCTGTGCCTATTCTGGACATCTCACATAAATGGAATCAAACCGCATGTGGCCTCTCGGGTCTGTCTTCTTTCACTTAGCGTATTGTCTTCAAGGTTCATCCACAGAGTAGCATGCATCAGTGCTTCATTCCTTTTTATGACTGAATACTATTCCATTGCATGGCTATACCACCATTTGTTTACCCATTTGCCAGATGATGGACGTTTGGGTTGTTTCCACTTTTTGGCTGTTATGAATAATGCTGCCATGAACATTCGTGTATAAGTTTTTGTGTGGAGATGATGCTTTCAATTGTCTTAGGTATACACCTGGGAATGGGATTTCTGGGTCATATGCATTTTGAGGAACTGCCATGCTGTTTTCCAAAGTGACTGCAGCATTTTACATTCTAAGCACTTCTTTTTATAATCCTCGAGATAGGAGATAAACCCACCTTCCCATGAACACTGGCTCAGGGCCCCTGAGCCCCAGGTTGGGAAGTCTGTCCCAGGGATAGAGTCTGGATAGCCTTAATGTTCAGGAAATGCTGGCTGGACTGATCTGTCGAGAGCCGCTCCTCTTTTCCTCTCTCCCAACTATCAACAATTGGCCCAGCCCTGAACAGCCCCAGGCTTTTCTGGAACAATTTCCCCAGAAAGTCTCTCTGGCAGATGACATCCTCCCAAGGACTCCCCTCGCGCACCTGGGATGTTGTTTGCTTGCTCTCTCTCCACATCTCTCCTTTCAACCAGGATCTATGTCTCTCTCCATACCCTTTCTTCTGCCTCCATCTCTGTCTATCTCCATCTGTCTCCCCATCTGTGACAGGCAGAATAACGGCCCCTGAAGAGATCTATGCCCTAATCCCTGGAACCTAGGAATATATTAGGAATATATTAGGTTACATGGCAAGGGGGAATTAAGACTGTGGATGACATCAAGGTGGCTGGTCATCTGACCTTAAAATAAGGAGATCATCCTGGATTATCCAGATGGGCCCAAGATAATCACAAGCGTCCTTAAATGTGGAAGAGGTTGGCAGAAGAAGTCAGAGGGAGAAAGAAGTTCCCTTGAAGATGAAGGGAGCAGAGAGCAAAAGAATGCAGGTGACCTGGAAACAGGAAAAAGAAAGGAATGGATTCTCCCCTGGAGCCTTCAGAAAGGGACACAGCCCTGCCGGCACCTTGGTTGTAGCCCAGTGAGACCTCTGCCTGCAGTCCAACCTACAGAGCTGTAAGATGATACATTTGTGTTGTTTGAAGCCACCACGTTTGTGATAATTTGTTACAGCAGCATATACAAAACTCCACAGGACTCCTGTCCATTGTGTCTCCACGATGTTTCCTTTCACATCTGCTTGGTTTTGTTGTGTCTCTTCCACTAGAGTGTGAGTTCCACGAGGGCAGGGACGTTGTGTGTCCCTACCGTGTGCCCAAAGCCTGGAGCACCTGACAGGCTCTTGGTCAGCCTTCATTAAAGCGAAGACGGAAGAAGAGCCAAGCGGTCTTGCAAACCCCTGCCCAGAACTCCCTCAGCTCTGGTCCCCGTGCCTTTTCTGGATCCCAGTGTGGCCGCCCCAGTGTAGAGCAGAGTGGAAAGCCAGGCAGGGGGTCTCCCGCCTCTCTCTGCCCCTCACTGCCCACCCTGCTGCAGCCTGAGCATGCGCCCTAACACCGTCCCTCTTGTGCTGGGCTCCCCATGCCCTCAGGGTAATCTTCCTTCCAAGGCTCTGCAGGACCCAGTCCCAGGCAATCCCACCACTCCCCACCTGCCCCCACCTCGTCCTGGCCCTTGACAGTCACTGAGGCTTCGCATGCTCTGTTCCCTCTGCTGGGCACATCTTCCCTGTTTTCCCTTTTTCTTTGCTGAAGCATTTTCAGATAAATCCCAGACATCATCACATTCCACACTGATACAATTATGTGTATCTTTTAAAATATACAAACTTTTCTTTCCATAACCACAATGTCATTATCATATCTAATAAAAGTAACAATGATTTCTTAATATCACATAATAACTAGTCCATAATCAAATTTCCCTGATTGTCTCAAAAATGTCTTTTTACTCTATTTTGTTGTTTTTAAAACCAAGAACGAGGTCCATACACTACATTTAGTTGTTATGTCTCTTAAGGATCTAATTGAAAGCACCCTTCTTCCTGCCCCCACCCCCCGCCCATATATCATTGAGTTGTTGAAGATACTGGATACTGACAAATAGAAGTGGCAAGCAATAGGATATATTGGAGTATAGGAGGAAGCCGTTTGGTGTAACGTTAATTCAGCCTGACTTTGTTTTTTCCAAAAGGGCCTGACGTGGCTGTTAAAGATGCATTGTATATCTGCTTAAGCATTTGCTATGTCCCAAAGACAAGAACAAATGACCTTAAGATAAAGATGCAACTTCCCCCCACAGTGGCATTTCCTGAAGGATAAGCATCTTTCCTTAGGCTAGGAACATATTGCTGCACCCACCCTGTGACCACCAAGCTTGAAACAACCGAACTGCCACCCTGCCACCCTGCTGTGTCCACTGAGACAGCAGACCTACCTGCTGTGTCCATCAATCGCTGTGCCGACAGAGCATTCTCGCAACTATTGTAAAAGGGGCATGTCAATCATATGTGAAACATCCTCTTTGGGGGTATATAACCCCTCCGTACACCCCACTTCTTTGGTGCCCTTCCTTCCTTCGGGAAGAAGGGCCCTGGGCTATGGTCCTCACATTTTAGCTCAGAATAAACTCACCCAAATTTTCATTTATAGATT